ATTAAAATATATGTATATACAGTCAACCCCCTCTAAGTAATGATGATGTTAGCCGGCTAAAAAAAAATTTCTCTTAATATGCATTTTTACAAGCGCAGAATCCAGTGGCATAGACATTTAGTCGAGATGGGTCCATCTGCGTTACTTAGAATGACAAAAAACATACAATACTCGTCGTAGCAGGATAAAAGCAATAGAATTTCTATTATATAATAATTCGATTATTCGTTTATTCAAATTATTAGTTTTATTAGTTTGAATAAATTTTCAATGTAATTCGAATATCAAATGCATAATGAATGAAACAAATAATTTGAATAAACCTTATTTGGATATAACGATAGTAAATAATAGTAATAGTGGTAATAATAATAATACCAGCAAGTTTAATACCACCTGAAAATTTCTTTCATCAACTGGGGTTCTTGGCCAGCTAAGTTTTTCTACCGATTAACAACCCTAAAATTAAAATCAATACTAACCAGAATGCTGATTGATTTTATAGAACTATCTAAATGATGTCTGATTAATTAAATAAAGTTCAATAAGTATTGGTTTTGGAGTTGGCTCTCAAGTTATTATTATTAAAGTAATTAGTTATTTAAATTTGAAAAATACCACCATCTCAACAAAATAAATGCTGAATAATATGCAAAGAATGTCATAAATATCTTTTATATAGGTTGTTGATTGGTGTCAATTTGTGGCATCATTCAGTAACTAATTGATATCAGACAGGTTGTTTTTGACAGCAACCCCAAAGCCTAATCGGATACCTTGGGTTTAGTAATTGATTAAAGTATTCTCATTTAGTAATAAATCAATTCTTTGTTTTATTTCAATCAATATGTTATAGTGAATAAACATAGGGTTTTAAAATCAGGCCGACTAGTAGTATGATGCCGAGAGGAAAATAAATAATAAATAAACCCCAATTTGAAAATAGGGATTTTTAATTCAAGAAAAGATGTTCTATATACAACATTTCTTAAATAATGAATGAATACAGATTAGTCAAACTATTTTCAAAAAAATAAAATGTAGCTCTGGCATCTCGATATTTCTATAAAGAATGAACATGAACAACTATATATCCAATTTCAGCTACAGTGTGTAACTAAAATAATTGGAAAATTGTTCGCATTGTTTAAATGCGTGTTTTGTATATATAGTGCAAGACACCTAGTCCCACAACTTTTCATTGTCCTTGTAGATCCTTCTCTAACTCCAAAAATGGAAA